TCTTTTATATTTTAATGACCTCTGGGAATGATAAGCCACATGGCGACAAACAGTTGTTGAAGTTTTCTTATTGAAGACAGTAAACTGGATAAGATTGATGGATTGATTCATGGATTGACAGGTTTTCTTTATTTATTTGGTTGGTTCATTGTTGGTTTGTTGGTTGGTTTTTAGAGACAGGGTTTTGTTATGTAGTTCAGGCTGGCCTTGAACTTGTAGTAACATTCGTGCCTCAGCATCCTGAGTGCTGGGATGATAGGTGTGCACCACCATGCCTGACCCAAACTGGATAAATTTAGAAAGAACCACAGCCAGAAAAATCATGGCTTTCTTACCTGATGGTATTTGGAGCAGAGTTGCCCCCGGGACCTCCATGGATACCAAAATCTGTGGATGCTCAAGTCCTTTCATTGAAATGGTGTAGTATTTACCTATACAACCTAAGCAATTCTGCCATATACTTTATTTTTATTTATTTATTTATTTTTCCAGTACCAGGAATCGAACTTATGACCTTGCACTTGCCAGGCAGGTGGTGTGCCGCTGAGCTAAATCTCCAACCCTCTCTGCCATATACTTTAAATCTTATTTTCTAGACACTTACAATACCTAATACAATATAATGCTATGTAAGCAGTTTTTACATAATATTGTTTGGAAAATAACCACAAGCAAAAACTCTATATATATTTAGCACAGACAATTTTTCTCCTTATTTACAAGCTGAGGTTGGTTGAATACAATGATGCAGAACTTGCAGATAGGAAGAGATGACTGTACTTCTCTTTTTTTGAGAAAAAGATACTTTTCTAGTTTATTCTTTAACTATAAGAATAAAATGTGCCAAGTACAAGCCAGTCAGTGCAGATGCATATGAATACAAAGTAGGAGTCACCCACTCTTCTGCAGAGTGGCCCTGTGGGGCAGCTCATATTGATAAGGTGGTCTGTGTTCTTTTACATCTTCTTGAGTGAGGCTAATTCGGTCTGCATTGTTTCCCTTGTATGGATGACGATCTGTCTCAGATTCCAGAAGATAGAACTCAGCCTCTCATGCAGCAGGATTGGGGATGGTGGCAGGTCCATGTGCCGCCTGGAGCCAACTGTCTGTTCACATCCCAGCATCCCAATAATTTGGGTAGACTTCCTAGATAACTTGGGCAGTGGTTCAGCTTTTCTTTATGTCAATTGACTTGTGTAAGTGGACACATTAAAATAAGGATTATTACACTGATTAAGAAGTCAGTACTATATGGTAGGTAGCATGCATACCATTTAGTAAGCACACACTTCTCATTGATGGAAAGTACAAAAGTGACAAGAATGATCCTCTAGTAACTGGGGATCTGAGTATATACAAACTGAACCAATGATAACTGCAGTTATCAAAAAACTGCACTGCTGTAGGCGTAGTGTGCACAGTGATAAAACTCCTCATCACCCATGGATTCCACTACATAGATATAATTCAACATGAATTCCTTTTTATAAAGAGTGATAAGGAATAGCAGTACAATTATGGACACACTTTTAAAAAAAGTTTAGTAAAGAATAATTCTACATCATACTAATTAACCATTTGAAGTGCGCAGCTACATGAATTTTATTTTTTTATTTTTGTTTTTTGTATTTTTGAGACTGGGTCTTGCTATGCAGTTCAGCTTGGGCTTGAGCTCACTTTGTAGCCCAGGCTAACCTCAAACTCACAACAATCCTCCTGCCTCAGCCTCCTGAGTACTGGGATTACAGGCATATGCCACCACACCTGGCTCCATGAATTTTAGTATGCTGACTTAGTTGTGAAACCATCATCAACACAATCAACTTTAAGAATATTTATATCACTCTAATTAGATATCTCTGGCTGTTTGCTGTCTACCCCACTTCCTACCCTAAATTCCAGGCATCATTAATCTTCTCTCTCCCTGATTGAATTTTTGGGATATTTCATGTATACAAATCATACAGTATATGGTCTTTTGTGTCTAGTTTCTTTCAGTGAACACAATAATATCTAAGATTCATGCACATTAAGCTGCATTTACTTTCTGTTACTATGAATAATCTCACCATGAATATTCATGTGCCAAATTTTGGGTGGACTTACATTTTCCTTTTCTTGGGTAAATAAAAAAGACTGGAAGTGTTGTTTGTATGGCAAATTTGTATTTAATTAAAAATTAAAAATTTTATTTATTTCTGATTGATACATAATCATTGTATGTACTTCTGAGGTATGACGTAATGTTTTGCTTCATGAGTGATAATCAAGTTAGGGTAATTAGCATAGCCATCGCCTTAGAATTTTTATCATTTCTTCATTGTTGAATACATTCAAGATATCTCTTCTAGCTATTTTGAGACATCTTAATGCATTATTGTTGATTGTATTCACATGCTGGACCCTGGAACATCAGAATTTATTTCTTGTGAGTGGGAGTGAGGAGATATTGAAAAAAGCATAGGATGTTACTGTTATATTGAACTTTTTAAAGAAACCACAGATTTGTATTCCAAAGAGCCTGCACCATTTTACATTCCCACTAGAAATGTATGAAACATCTACAGGCCTAACTTTAAAAGGTCAAAAGAGAAAGGGTGTCTAAAAATATACAGATTCAAAGGCTGGATTTCCATTCTCTGATTTTAATTATCTTCTACAACTTCCCTTTAATGAAAGGACAGAGGAAGAATCCTTCTCTTGACTTCCTCGGAGCGGCATTTTCTGCATTGTGCTGTCTGGCAGACGAGGGCTTTTCTCACTTACCTTGGTTTAGGAATTTAGGGAAAAACCCCTGTGCTACTTCATTCCTGGGCACGCTAAGAGCCATTAACAAATGCAAATTCACTCCTGGGATATGGCCAGAGAAGAGTTAATGCAGTTTGTAACAATTATTGACTACAAGATCTGCAAATGATTGCATAAAATCTCTAAAATATGCCTGCGAGCCTCTATTATTGATGTGGTACCCCCAGGGGTGCACATATGGGTTTAAGTGTATAAACTGTTTTATTAATTAAATTGCTATGATTTACCTCTCCCATGTTAGCATTTACAGTTTATGAAACAGCCCTGTAATTAGAAAATGACGTACCTGTGTTGCTTGTTTACTTTGTGGGTGAAATTACACACACACACACACATACACACACACACAAACTCTATTTCCCTGACCAACACTTACAGGCTCCTTCATTTCTAGTACCATTAATAGGCAACCTCCAGTGGTGCATTAAATTGCTTTTTAGGGGAGGGGTGATGGCTGAGTCCTTCGTTGTTCCCGCTGAGGTGTGTGATGACATCCATGTTTGTTTGTTTTTCCTCTGTGGACAGAAAATTTAAACCATCAGATTTTATCATAAAAAACATCTGCCTACAACAGTCCCGAGACCCCCAGCAAATCTTAAAATTGTAGACCCATCTTAATTGCACAGTGTCATAATTTTCACTCCCCATTTTGAAGGTATATCTAGAATATTTAATACAAATTACCTACGGAAGGGAGACAATGGCTTAAGAGAGTTGTTGTTGAAGTCTTGTTTGCCTTTATTGTAAGTCTATTTATTCATCTCCTTCCCAAACCATACACTGCTGCTGAATTCAGGGTTGGGTACATTTTTTACCAGTTTTCTCAACTGGGAGGAATAGTTGATTTTTAAGTATGGCAAGTCTGTTTCAAACATATCAAAGATTATTGAACTTCACATTAGAGGAATGTTAGGGGTTATATATTTGCACTTTTCGTATTTATGAAACATTTATGTGTTTCTTATGAATCGATCATTATTGCCATTTCAGATTTCTTTGGTGGGAGCTAGTGGATGCTGTGGTCCCCCTTCTCTGCAGGGGATATGGTCTAAGACTCCCAGTGGGCGTCTGCAACCGAGACTAGTACTGACCCATCTGTATACAGTTTTTTCCCTATGTGTACACACTTATGATAAAGCTTAACTTACAAACAAGGCACAATAGGATATTAACAACAGTAATTAATAATGCAGGGGAGCAATTCTAACAATAGATTATAAAAGCTATTTAAAACTTATGCATTTTTTTTTATTTTTGTAATTTTCCAGTGAATATTTTTCGTTTTTTTTTTTTTTTTTTTGGTTTTTCTCCGGTACCGGGAAACGACAGTGAATATTTTTCAAACCATGGCTGACTGCAGGTGACTGAAGTTACAGAAACCAAATCATGGGCGAGTGGAGGTCACTGTCATTTTAAAAGTCTCAGAGATACAAAGGTACAGTGAAATAATGATCTTTAAAATATTTTAATGCACAAGGAAACAGATTTTCTGTACATAAAAATATCAATTTGATGAACAATCTAACAATGCAGAAATTTATGTCAAAGGGTTACCTGGCTCCCATGGTGGACTGATGTATTCTGATTGCAGAATAGAACAGATATATTTGTGTGTGTGTATGTGTGTGTGTGTGTGTGTGTGTGTGTAGTGGGTGCAGAATAGAGAAAAAGTGGTAAATAATATAGAGTCTACCAAAGGACTAACTTACACATGAGCACTTTATGCATTTGCACTTATACACTTACCAAATATTTATGAAGAATCTAAGCTATACCTGATAGTATACTATGTGCTTAAGTGGATGCAAGGATTTTAATGTATGGTCTCTGCTTCAGAAAGCCCAAACCTACAGAAAGGGAGTGCTCTGCTTCCAAGTATTAAGAAGGATGTGTGACCCATCAGAAAGGCAGTCTGCAAAGAAAATGATAGGGTTTTAGAAGACAGGAATTTCTCTGATTGGAGGTGGTCAGGAAGGACTTCTTGGCCTCAGAGTTGAGTTTTCACATACGGAGAGGCTTTGAAATGATGGGAATTTTTAAGGTGGGCATGGAGAATGGAGTGCATACAGGTGCAGAGGTTGGAAAATCCATCATCTGGGATGTTGTACAACAGACAACATAAAGCAATTTCCATCTTTCCTTCTGTGTAGACATGAAATACAGAAATTGTTCTTTTGGTAGTTGTTCCTTACCAGTCTTTGAGATCAAGCAAAGTTCCACCGGGTGTAGTCGCAATCTGTATTGGTGATTCTGACTTTATATTAAAGCTAGTGGTGGATGATGCCAGCCTCTTAATCACTCGTCTTGCAGTTGCATGAGGTGGGTAACTAAAGTGAAAGAGAGCGAACGCATCATAGCAAGTGGTCAGCAGTGCTGGCAGATATATGCAGAGGGAAGAAAAGACAGAGCGAGCAGCAGAACAGTGAAAATGCACAATGTTTATGGCAAATAGCATTATATTCTTTAAAGATAATACCACTAATTTAAAGAGGCAAGACTCATAACAGTGTGGAGTAGTAGGCAAACTTTCATGAATAAAAGTGAGGAGGACATCTTTGTGTCTGTGTATGTCACCACCCCTTCAGGTCCATGGGGACCGGATCCAGGACCTCCATGGGTGTGAAAATTCACTGATGCTCAAGACCCTTATATCAAATGGCATAGTATTTGCATAGAACATACTCACATCTTAAAATATACTTTAAATCATCTCTAGGTTACTTACGATACCTAGGGCAATGTAAAATCTATGCAAATAATCATTACACTATTGTTTGGGGAATCGTGACAAGGAAAATTCTGTAAATTTTGGTACAAATGCATTTTTTCCTCATATTTTTCATCTTTGGTTGGTTGAATTTTCTAATGTGGAATCCATAGATACAGAAGAATAATCCTGAAAGAAAAACAAAACTGGTACCAGTAATTGTGTGTGTGTGCACGTGTGTGTGTGTGTGAGAGAGAGTGTAAGAACTGCAAAGTGGACAGGGGTAGGGAAAGTGTCGTTTCAGGCTGCACACATACCTGGGGAAGCTGTGCACAGGCAGGTTCTGACTCAGCAGGCCTGCAGCACGGCCCGAAGGCTCTGCATGTCTGAGGAGGTCTGTCTGAGGGGATCCGGACTGTGGCTCTCCGCGGTTACACTTGAGTAGAAATGAGCCCACACCAATGGGAAATCGGCACTTTCCCTTCCTGTTGGATGACGACATTCCCCGACTCTTCTTTTTGTTGATGTGATAATGGCCCTGTGGTTAGAGAGACCCTTCAGATGTTTAAGGAAGGTGAAAAATGGGTTTAAGATTTGCCTTAAAATATTTAGCAGCAAGAAGAGGAACAAACAGCGAACACCGGGTAGATGAAACGAGTCTGGAAAACCCTGATCATTTGCTGAATCTCGATTCTGGGGAGATTTGTTACATTATTTTTTTGTACTTTGCTTTTGAAATTTTTCATAGCAAAAGTTTTTAAACTTGTTTATGATTTCTGCTTTTATCTCACAAAAAGTAGTCCTCCTTAGTGCTCTCAGCCATTCCCATTCATGAAATCCAGGTTTAAACTCTTGTCTTCATTTTACCTGGCCCTCAAGCAGCCTTAGGTAACCTGGATCATTTCTATTCCACTTGCTTTTCTTTTCTTAAGTGCACAGAATATTCATTTTTTTCTGGCCCGTAAAGCAAACCGCAATAATCTTAAACAGATTGAAATAATATGTAATATATAATCTTATGATTAAATTGGAAATGAGCAACAGAAAGATATCAGTGAAAAGTCCAAACATTTTGCTGTTAAGCACTGCACTTCTAAACAACTCAGGGGGGTCTAAGAAGTAATCACAAAGGAAAAGAAAACATCTTGTTCTAAATTTGTATATTTATTAGTACATGCTTGCGGTACATGAGGATTGCACACACCCTGGGGAGGTGGTACGTGGACATAACACATCTTAATTCTTTTCTTCCTCTTTCCCTCCCATCTCTGCGGTCCACTGTCTTGAAACCTCTTCCTTCCCTTCTGCAGTCACTGTGTCTCTCCCTAGCCCCCATCACCTGTGCCTTCTCAGCTGGGTTGCAGTGCCTCATCCTGCCGGACTCGGAATGTGGCCATCCTTGGATTCTCTGTGGGACCTTGTGTCTTCCCAGTTCTCTGTCTCTGTCCATGCCTTCTAGGGACTCCTCAGCATGTCTTGAGTCTACACTTTTTTATTTTATTTTATTTTATTTTTTTGAGCCTACACTTCTTGAATCAGTTTCAGACTCACACGTCCAGCTCTCTAGATCAGCATTTCTGCATACAAGCTCTTAAAACCCTCCAGACCAAAAATGGATCTCCGAGGCACTTTTGCTTATACTCTGCCTGCTCTCTTTCAACTCCCTTATCTTTTGAACACACCGCCATTGTCTTAGCTCATTTTCTGGTGCTAATAACACAATACCATTGACTGAGTAAGTCATAAAGAAAGAGCTTTCTATGTTATGGCTTACAATTCTGGTCCTAGAATGAGGAGCTCCTTCTATCTGGTGATGACCTTCCTGCTGGCAGAGTCCCAAGGCAGGCCAGGGCACCACGGAGCCAGAGCTGAGTGTCTCACGTGTGGGTCTCTTCTTGTGCAGCTACTGGGATGCAATTCATGTGGGCTCCACCCTGCTGGGTTTATCCTCATCACTTCCTGAGGGCCCCACCTGGAAACACCACCGTCACACTCAGCTTCACAGTGCAGGTTAAACTTCAGTGTGGGTTTTGGAAGGGAGAAACCATAGCAACCGTCCACTCCTGTGCTCATCCAGAATTCCAGCTGGCAAGTTCTACACGCTTCTCCATCTTTCCTCAGCCTCCCAATCACCAATGCTTGTTAATTCTACCTGCACAATACTTCCTGAACCTGTCTACTTCAGTCAGCCACCGCTGCCTCCACTGTCTCACTTCACCTAAGGAGAAAGCCCAAGGCACCTCCATAAATTACAAGGCCCCACCCTCCACTCAGTAACTAGAACGATCTTGTAGAAACATCTAAAGATTAAGTGCTCCTGTCTTCAAAACCCTACCCCTTTTACTCACTAGATAACGTCCTTGCCATGGTCCAGAAGACACCATGAGACATGCCTGCATCAGCTGCTGCTGTTCTACATCTCAGGTGACCATTGTCCCAGCATCTACTTGGTTAACTACTATTACTCTGGGTTCCAAATTAAATGATCCTTCACCAGCCTTACTAGACCTGCAGAAAAGTAAAGCCCACCCATTTTGCACTTCCATTGTCCACTCCAGTCCTCTTGCAGAATATTAAACACAAACACAATTTGTTAGTTATGTAATTGTGAGTTTACTGTCAGTCTCCTGTGTTAGACGGAAGGCTCCAGTGCTTAACCCATTGTCATGGCCTGACACAAATGTCCACTTAGTTGATATTCTGCCTCATAAAGACAGAGATTGTGTCTGGCAGAACATGGCACATAGGAGGTGCTAAAAAATTGTTAAGACTGTTGCTGAATGTTGCTGATGTTCAAATTAAGCATTGGGGTTGAATATGAACATTGACTTTAACATCTCAACAATACCTCCCAGAGCAAGCAAAACAACAATAACAAGTTGGGGGCTGGGGATATAGCTCAGTGGTATAAGTGCCTGCCTGGCAAGCGCAAGGTCATGAGTTCAATCCCCGGTACCGCAAAATAAAAAATAATAATAATAACAAGTTGGTAGGTATTTATGTTTGTAGCTGGTAGGTGTTTGCCTACTCCAACTCCCTGTTCCCAGGATCTTTAAAATTAGTGACATTCTTTTTTAAAATTTTTATTTTTTAAATTTATTTTAAAAATAAAAGAAGGAAAACATATTAACAAACTGACATCCATTTGCAAAATAGCATAAGAATACAAACAATACAGAGGTACAAAGTGGTAATCATTTGAGAAATTAGTCATAATTTTTATTTTTTATTAGCACATCTTTGCAGTTGTTGCCTTTAGTCCTGACATGCTTCTTTAGAAGTGAGCTGGAGGATTTGGAGAGTTTTCAGAGATTTTTTGTTTTGTGTTTTGCTATTCTGAGTAAAAACCATACACTAGAGGGCAGGTGTCAGATCTTCTGACACTGCATTCAAAGTGTTTAACAGATCGTTTGAGAGTCATTTCATACTAAGTCACTTTCCTTTATATGACTAAATGTAGCCTGCGTGAGACCATGCAGTGAGTGACTCCTCATAATTCCCCCAGTTCCAGCAGCTCTATCTTAGCCAAGCAATAACTGAGTCCCTATGTATTCTTAAGAGAGCAGCATGTTGACTTATTTCCAGGTTTATCGCCTTCACACCCAAGATGTCAGGTTAGTCAGATGTCAGCTTCCCAATCCTGGCTTAGCAAACTCAAAACAAGATGAGAGTTTACTAGCTTAACTTCCAAAGTGGCAAAAAGGTGGAAAAATTATATTTAGCAAGATAGGCAAACACAGATTGCTGGAAAAATGGACGTTATGACTTCTTTATCACGGCCACATTGCCCTGGCCTAGAGGTATCCGGCAGCATGTCCACCAGCTGTGGTGGATTTAGATGCCCCAGCCACACAAGTTTGCCTAGTTTTGTTTCTGCAATCTATTTCAAACATGGTAAAATTTGTAGGTGGCAAAGCCCTAGAGCATTGTAGGTGTTCCTGACTACCTTGCAGAGAACTGGCCTGTCGCAGAAAGTTCAATAAATTTATCCTGTATTAAATTACAGTTAGGCACCTTGGGTCCTATTACAGAAACCATGCACTTGGAAATAAACCCACGAGATCTCTTTGCTGTTAGAACTTAAAGATGTATATATTTTCTTTCTAGTTCTACTTGAAGATGATGCTAGGAGCTTAGTGAAACACAATTGTTGTCTGGCTCTGAGGGCAGCATTAACATATGCTACCTGGTTCTCCAAAACATATTGCAAGCCAGGTTCTTGGCCCTCAGTTCTGGTGGCTGACATTCATTATCTGAGTGACCTCAGTTAAAATGAGCAGGCCACGACAGTAACGGGGAACTCAGCTGCTCTCTCCTTCCACACAGGCCTTCCCAGCTACCTGGCAGGGCCTTCTCAGGTGATGTGAATGCCCTTGGTGCTGGTGCCACATGTCTGGAACTGCCAACCAACACCAGCTAGGCACACCAGTCACACAGACACAGGCAGGTGAGAGGTGCTTGTCTTCCTGGTTACCTGAGCAGGCATTATAGGAGCAGCAGGGCTGGATAAAAGCAACCATCTGGTTTTCTCCAAATTAATTTGTGTCTTTAAATGCATTCTACCTTTGTTTTAACTGCCAGAAGCTGGTAGTCTAATGCATCACTGTGTCTGCTGGTTTTTTCTAGGGCCTTTCCTGGCCTCCGTAGCATGGCTTCTGCCTCTCTCATTTGAAATTGCTCTGAAAGCTCACCAGTGACTTCCTAACATTCAAATCTGATGGCCTGTCCTTTGTTTATTTCCATTGCCTCTAGCACTTGACGCTACAGATGGTCAGTTTCTTAGCGAACTTGCAATACAGGGAAGTTTTGTGGTCATCCAAACTTCATATACTGAAATGTAATCCCCAAGGTGATAGAATTAGGTTGGATGGAGCCCTCATGAATGGGATTAATGTCCTTATTAAGGAGCGCCCAGGGACTTGTCTTGTCCCTTCTGTCATATGAGGGCACAGCTCTCATCAGATACTGAATCTTTTGGTGCCAAGATCTTGGACTTTTTAAACCACTGGAACGGTGAGAAATAAATATCTGTTGTGAAGAGTCACCCAGTCTGTGCTATTTTATTATAGTAGTTTGAAGAGTTGAAGACATATTTCTCTCTTGGTTTCACCAACACCCCATCAACATGGTCTTGTTTCTGCCTCTCCTTCACCTTCTCAGTCTCCCTTTTGCCATCAGCTCCTTCTGCACCATGACTTCTGCATGTTTGTCTAACCTCAGCTCTAGTGGGTCCAGTATCCATCCTCAGGATGTACATATCCCTTAGGCTATGATGCACTCTTGGCCTAAGAAGTCTTTTCTGTTAGTCCAGGTTTTTTTGTTATGACCCAATACAGGAGGAAAACAACCTAATGGAGGAAAGATTTATTTTGACTCGCAGTTTCAGATCTAAGGCAGAAATATCATGGCCAGAGGGCGCAGTGGGACAAAGCTCCTCACCTCGTGGCAGTCAGGAGTCACAGTGAGAGACCATGGGAAAGAGCCAGGGAGGAAGAGGCCAGGAAC